TGGGCGGGGCTTAATCCAGAAGAGTGTGGGGCTAACAGGGAGTTAATTTAAGCCTGAAATTGTTATTGTTATTGAAAATAATTTACAGAAGAGCCTCAGAATTGAGCTTCAGAGCATTGTTTATTATCAGAAGTGTAAGAGAGCTATTTACAGAACAATTCCCTTTGTTACTTTATTTATGAGTACAGATATTAACGCTTTATACTCTACTCGCTAAACCCTAATATTAAGCAACAACAGCTACAGTCCAGGTCTTCCATTACATTTGGTTCTCCAATTCATGAGCTGCTCTAAACTGTAGCCACACTTTTTGCCTCAGCAGTTGAGCCACGGTGACATCCTATCTTGGACAGCTGTCTGGTCCGGACCAGATAACTCAGAGGCTGAACGAAACTGCCCATGGAGAGAGCAAAGTAAGTCACACCAGTGATGACTGAGAAGGGTTTGAATTGATTGGGACCATACTGCTTAAACAGGTACTCGCCGAGTGGCGGGAGGTAGTGGAAGTTGACCTGCAGCAACGCATTCAGCACTATCTTGAATGCTCGCTTTTTCACTGGATGGACTTCCTTTTTGTTGGGCCCTGATTGGCGGAGGGACCTGAGAATCAGGATGTTGCAGGTAAATATGATTGCCATGGAACTGCTCAAGAGCACAAATATCACAGTCCACTTGAACATTGAGGAGATCTTCACCAGACAGCAACAACCAGCAGTTATGACGCCCACCACCGAGCACAGCGACAGTCGCAGTTTAGGATCCTTAAGGCGAAGGAAGACCAGCGGATGACAGACGGCCATGTAGCTGTCCAAACCCAACATGCAGAGCAGTATCGGCCCTCCTCCTTGATTCAGACCCCAGGCCAGGAAGTTAGCAGCTTCCATTGTTTGATTGCACACGAAACGGATGTACTCGGCGAGGACCATGAAGCAGAACAGCATGTTGAATAGTGCCAGGTTGAGTGTGAAGATATCTGAGGTGGAGCAGATACCGGGTTTGTGCAGCAGGAGGCGTATGACCAAAGCGTTGGTTGGTATCCCCAGTGGTGGCACTGAGACCACAGTGGGCAGGAAGTACCAGACAAGATCACCGACCCCCGGTACTGTGTGGTTCGGACTGATGGTTCTGTTGTCATTTAAGTTTTCCATCCCCATGGCTTAGTTGAGGACGAGGTGCTGTCTCTGTTGAATGTTTAAGTTGAATATCTATCAAGAGAGAGGATACTGTGACTGGTGATCTGGTGAACATGTCAGCAAAGAGTTGACATGGAGCAACTTTAGCATAGCATAGCATTCATTTGGAAATAACCGTGGGAGCTGTAGAACCACATCACGCATTTTGACATTTAAGGTCCAGTGTGTAACATTTAGGAGGATCTGTTGGCAGAAATTTAATGTAATATTAGGTTTGTTTTCATTGGTGTATAATCTTAGAAAATTAGAATCGTTGTGTTCATTATTTTGATCAAGATTGTGTAAAGGGATTGTGATGTTTAATCCTATGCAGGTCAGTGTTGTCAGATGAGTAACACCAACACATGTTGCTCCCTTCACATCCAAAAAAACAACATCCTGCTATTTTATGTTTGATGCCTCCACAAACATTACATCTATACTTTTCATAAATTTCCATTTATCTTATGCCAGGTGTTCTTTTGCACAGTCTATCTAGCTTGTAAACTTGATGCAAATTAACTCTAATGGCATGTATTCGCATCATTGTTGTTTTTGATTATTAAACATGAGGTTGTGAGTGTTTTTTCAGTGTCTTTAAGCATTCGTCATTCAGTCGTCGTTTCTGAGATATCTTTCATTGAGTTTACATAATCTCGTGTGAGCTGCACAATAAAGTGCTGTCTTTTACTGGTTGTCTCTGCTTGAGCAGATTTATTACCATCATCAACTGTGAAGCTGCTGTGAATTCAACCCACTGATGTTATAATCCCACTTCTCTGACATTTAAGATGCTGCTGTCAATATTAATTCTAAAAATGTAATTTTCAGTAAACCATATATAAACCTAGTGATGACAGAAACTGAGCCAAACTGTAATAATTTTCACTTGTTTTTATGTTTTCACATGACTCACATGAATCACATTATACTGTTAGATATCCCTGTAACTTGTATTTGTGCATTATACATACACATACATACATACATACATGATGCAAAATAGGGGGGAAAAACAAAACATACATTATTTTTATTAACCAAGTAAAGAAGCTGTCATGTATTTGATTTATGTTAATGAAGTCAGTGACTAATGAAGTGTTATTGTATAGTTTTAAATGGTAAACTATCCTAACAGGCAGGCTTTGAGAGTAACGGATTACATGTAGCAGACTTTTATAATCAGGATACAAAAAAGGTAAGTGTAATCGATTACAGTTACAGAAAAAAGATGTAATCAAATTACAAACGTAATAAATGGGGATAATGAGTAGGATTACAATTTTAAAATAGATTTAAAAAATAAAGAAAGGAAGACATATTTTCGATACTAAAAAATAAGTCTTGGTTTTCATTTTCATTATACATTGTTCTGTTGTCTTAATACTTGTCATCTTATTGATATTTATTTTCTCTTAAAGTTATCCGAAATTAAAGTAATCAAGTTACATTACTTTAATGTTGTAATACTTGAGGTTAGGTTAGGTAACTGACAACATTTTTTAACAGATAATTAGTAATTGTATTAGATTACATACATTCAAGTAACCCTCCTAATCCTACCAACAGGAGACACAGCCATTCATTAAATGAATGGGTTTGGTCCAAATATGAGATATCTTGAGTAAAGTGAGTATTTCTACATATTTAAAAAAAAAAACTTTCTGGTTACTTAATTGTGTAGATACTCAATCATAAACTTTAGCTCAAGGTTTTCCTTCCCAAAATGGGAAACTGTGGGATTTCCTTTCAGCAAAATATTCATATGGTAATTTCGCAAAGTGAAAGAAAAAATGGTTCCTTCATAGAAACATCAAACACTTTACCTTTTAGAATTGACAGTGCTCTTCACCAGGAACGTCAGGATTCAGGCATGAGATCAGTGCTGTGGTTGAACACAGACTACCTCCTGACAGAAACCAGGCTCTTCATGGAGATTTATTTCCTACATTTGAATACCCACAGTCAAAACTGACAGACGATATTTTCAAAACTACCACCATATTCAATCTATTTGTGGATTGATGTATGTAAATGCAGTGTTGTGTATTTTAAAGGGAACTGCAAGTGCACATCAGACAGAAGAACAGCATCATCTGCATACAGTGAGGCATGAGGGAAGGAGGCACATGGAGAGGCCTGCTTTGTGTCTCTTTATGGGCTTTGCACTTATGCTCAGTCGTCAAATCCTTCCCATTAATGTAATAATGTGATCTTTTGATAGACAATTTAACCTTGATTTGATTTGACAAGAAAATAAACCGAGTAGCAACTGACTCAGATCAAAGGCGGTAATCTCAGGTCCCTATGTGTATTAAATCATTATTGTGACTTTACATGTATTTACCTCTTCTTCTATTTATATCATGAATGAATGAATAATGAATGTTTTAAAGTTAGTGTATTGTTATTATCTCCATCTGTAGTGTTTAGAGTTGTGAAACTGGTTTTGTTGATCCCAACTAGCTGTCTATGACCTTTAACTTAATTCTGTCAGAAAACAATATATTAGAATTCACATCCAGTCGATGACCTCTTCACTGCATGCCAGCAACAAAAATGTGAATCGACCTTAAAAACACAACACTAAAACCCAATCTTTACTGTTTAACATGCAAAGATTACAGATTTACTTGTTTCTATTTACCCTTTTCCTTCTCTTCTCATATTCTTACTTAACATCTTATGGTGTTTGTCGTATATTACAAAAATAGTTTTACATCTGAATTAAAGGGGTTCTCAGTGATTTTGTATTGCACTTAGATAAAGCTGAATGTGAGACAAAATTTAAAAAAAAAAAAAAAATCTAATACTATCCCTATTAGTAGTATTAGTTGAGCTCCAACCATTCTGGATCCTATATTTCCCATACTGCAAGTTCATAGCATTCTTCACTAGAATGCCTACTTGTCAACATCTCATGCCTCATCAGAAATAACCCTGATGCCATCATCAGGGATTGTTTTCTCAGACCACAACTATTTTACTGGCTGAGCAGTAGGCCCAGTGGTGGTTGCATAATGAAACATGTGTAAAACACACAGTATTATTTATGTAAGCAGCTGCTGTTTGTCATGACTTTGCAAGGCTGAATTCCCAACAGGGTTTTTCTCAACACAGTTAACATAGTCTGGGCACATTAGTAACACCTTGCATTATATTTCTCATTTATGCTTACCTTGCATCACCTGTTTACTGAACAGTGTACAGTTGCATCAGTGAGAACAAATGTTCTGCTGCAGTGCTGCTGTAGATACAAAATTACCCACAGGAACCAACCTGGGATAAGATTACGCTTTTATAACATAAACCATAAATCAGAAAAATGAAAAACCATGCACAGGCCAGCAACTTAATGAAACCATAAGACTCATGTCTTTATAATGCAACAACTGGGAATATGCTTAATGTTTATTAACTCAAACACTTCATGCCACACAAAGGGGCAATTTAAACGGTGGTACAGTACAGATAACAACACTACATTTATCAGGCAGGTTGTTAGGGGTCCCCTTCACACATGAAATACAGACAGACAGAGAAAGAGAATATAACAAGAACATTCAAATTTGCCCCTGCTGTATGTTATGACTCTACTTCTATATGGACAGAATGCCAGTATATCGAAGTTAACCCAAACACGCCCCTTTCTAGGTACCCAAACTGTCCAATCAATGAAGATGTCTCAGCCACAGCCATTGCATTACTGTCCAATCACAGCTTAGGTTTGACACCACACTAGGGTGAGACAGCCATTGTCCCTGAGACTGGCCCAATCCAACAATGGCATTAATCTCTATGGGGTGTGTTTATAAACCCCTGGCGCCAGTGATCTGGGGCTAAACGCAAAAAGACTAGGACTGCAGGACACTGGGAACTCTGTTAAGGTAAGATGGGTTGATGTGATGTCTAATACTACTATATAGGCCTCTGTGTTCTGTATGGAGCATTTATGCAGGACTCTAGAATAAATAATAGGTTGTTTCATTTTGATGTAAAGTTAAGACTGTAACCCGTGACTAGCACTCTTTAGGGATACAAATGTACAAAACTGAAATTTCGATACGCAAAACTAACCCTTTACTCCGCTTTCTTTCTCATAGCATCCCATCTTCCTTCCAGCATCAGCACTTCATCCCCACAATGCTCAACACCACTCTGAATCCCGCCACCAACCTCTACGTAAACTCTACCATCCCTGGTGGCCCCCGTGAACCTCCACCATGGTACCAATTCCCAGTATGTGCCGTGGCCCCGTACGGCTTCATTTTCTACTTTGGGGTCAAGGTGTTTAACCTGGCAGTGGGAACACCCTGTAACGCCCTGGTCATCTGGCAGATTGCAACCAGGAAAAGTGATGCGTCCACCTCTGACATTTTCATCTTCAACCTGGCCATCTTAGATGCCTACTTCTGCCTAATGACGCCCATAGAGATGGTTAACCGCCTGCTGCTAGATGACAGTCGCATTTGGTACTCGCAGAGGTTCGCCTACGGGATTAAGGATGTAGCGCCACTCTTTCTGGTGAGTTTTTTGTATATAGGAATACCGTACACCAGAGCAGTGATACATCTCTGCATCCTAAAAAGATGGCCAAAGTTTAAGAACTGCTACAGTGTATTCAGGACCTCTATGAAGCTGCCACTTTGTGGAAATGACTAAAAACAGGCCTCTCTTAACCTGTTGCCTGTGATAATACAGGGTGCTGTGAAGCTTGATACATGTGGCTAGGATCTAAATGCTTTAAGATAATTTTGCAATTGATGCATAAAGGTCAGAAATCCAGCTACACTTGGGTAGAAGCAGAAGAGAATGCATGTTTTCTGCTGTATCTGATGTTACACTGCTCATAAACCTGTAAACTCATATACACAATACATATGTTTAAGTTCATACACAGTAATTAATAATATACTGTGGTTGCAACAAATTGTACCATCATCTCATTACCTCATTTGTAAATCTCTGCTTTAAATTTGATTTAATGGGGTTGTATATTAGACACATGAATCTCATACAAGTATTTTGATTTATACATTTTAATATACATCATTTAACAATTTTTTTGTGCTCAGATTAATTTAGCTCCCTTTGAAGTTGTAGGTGTTATTAGCACTTCTGTCTGTTATTTAGTGGAAGAGGTACTCAAAAGTACAACTTCAAGCGTAGTTTATTAAAATGTTCTATCTATTGCGTTGTCTGGAGAATTCACTGGAGGTTTATCTGGATGGATGTTCTGCAAATATTCTTCCGTTTTTGATCAGTTAACATTCTAGTCTGGTAATATTTCTATTCTTTCAATAATCTGCTGTTACAGGTGTGTATCTGTCTAGACCGCTACATGGCCGTGGTCCACCCAGTACTGTTCACTGGTATCCGAGACAATAAGATCCGCATTGGAATTTCAGTGGTGGTCTGGGGCCTCATCCTGGCTTACGGCCTCACCAAGTGCACCCTGGGAGTCATGAGCGTCAATGAGGTCTTCAGCGGTGTCATCCTCTTTGCCTTTGCAGTCATGGTCTTCTGCAACATTTCCGTCATCTGGGTCCTTAGACGTTCCGTGGCAGGAAAGGAGCAGATGCACCCGGTGAAGAAGAAGGCCTTCAAGATGGTCCTGATCATCCTCGCCATCATTGTGGCCAACTACCTGCCGCCAGTGGCTCTCATGCCCTTCGTGTCGTACTACTCGTTCGTGGCGTTCCGCTGCCAGATCAGCATCAGCGTGTTCTCCATCATGGATCTGAGCTGCAGCCTTGAGCCTCTCCTCTACATCACCAAGATGGAGCGCGTGGACGGCAGGTGCTGTGGGCGGAGCTTCTCTAAGAAGCCGCAAGATGTCAAGGTGTGATCAAGTGTGAAGATGCATAAAGTTTAGGTATTACCTACAACCTTTCTATGTTTCACAGTTCGCCAGGCAATCCAAGAGAAGTTTTTTTCCCCCTTAAGATACGTTATTGCTGTCTGCACTTACACCTGCAACCAGCGGGGCATTATAGGAAACAGAGGAAACCACTGACACCAATAGAAATAGAGTAACGTAAGGTGGCTAGTCCAAAATCAATCATTTGAACTGAGGTAGATTATTCCTGTAACAGGTGAGTTGGCTCTCTACATCTTCTGTGACAACCGGTATTAGAAACCCTTCTCATTAACACATACACCTCTTTTGGTTTGGCCTGGGGCAGAAACTAGTTTACAGAGCACTGGCTGAGCACTTAGCCAGTCATTAATTAAGCCCCCTAATCAGAGCACTGTGGGACCAATTAGCATGTGTAAGTGGTTAACAAACTAAATATGTAACACAGTGTAATCAATAAAGCAACACAAACAGGCAGTGTAATGACTGTATTACATCATTTAAGCAACAAATCCCCTAATAAGAGTTCTTTGAGAGTTGAAAACTGCTGAATATAATTTAAACTCTCAAAATTAATAAACAATTAAAAATTATACTGTAACTTGCGTGTGGTTGACATTTTCTTTGGATATGAAGCATTTTCAATTTTACATAACAATGACTTCTTGGTGCAAAAAAATAATAATTTCCATTTATGATGACCAGTGACATGAACAGGTCTTTATTTTCATCAAAAGTTAATAAATTGAACATCTCCTTAAGTGTTTGGCATTTTACAGTACATGGGTTAAAGAACATGAAGTGCAGAATTATTTAACTTTTTGATTCTAAAAACATAATTTGACACAGATACTTTTATGAATTAATAAAAAAAAACAACTTCCTTCAAATGTACAAACACAACAAAACATCAGCTGTACACACTTGAAATGTTTTACATTTTGTTTCAGTCAGTTCATTACACTTGCAACTTCTCAACTTGTTATTCCTACATTATTGACAGCGGCACATTAATGTTAACCAACTTTAGAACTGGTCTAGTTTGGAAGTTATGCAGCCTTGCCATCATTTAATCTTTTTAAAGTAGCTTTTTTTAATCAAATCTGAAATTTGTCTATTTTGGATATCTATATAATTCAATTCAATCAATTAATTTATTGTTAATTTAATCTAATCTAATGCCTTTAATACTTTGAAGCCAGCTTACATACTTGCTGGTGCAGCAGCTCTGTCCCGTCGTGATTAGTCAAAGATAAGACTAGGGTACATTAATGAGGCTGACAGTAAAAATGATGGCAATGACAAAGTGAAACAGGTTATTAGTCTTTGTGGAATTAATTTGCAGCAGGAAATTAAGGTGCTTCTGTTATTCTGTTTTTTTACACACTCTTTGTTAATGAATAAGGCAGAGAGGAATTCCTTTCACAGCTAAAAGTAACTCTTACGAGTTTAAGGACTCAAACTATAGATAACAGCACTAAGTCTGAGTAATTTTGATGTGTAGCTCCTTCAGACTTTCCAGGCTGGCCTCGGGTCCGTCCTCTGAGGTCACATACCCAGGATACGTGGGGTAAAACTGGGGAGGTGGTGGTTTCGTTGTGTCTCCTGTCCCTGATGATGAAGGTAGGAACAGTGGTATCAACTTGGCGTGAGCGTAATCAATCTCAAAACCCTCAAAAATAAGCCCCATCCCCCAGGCACCCAACCCCTCCTTAAGAAGCCTCGACACCTCCCAGGTTGCCAGCACCAGTCCCTCATAGTCCCCTTTTTCTAGTCTGAATATATCAGAGGTCAAAGGTCGCCGTGGGACCAGCACAGTAAATCCAGGGGAGTTGGGGAAAGGAGTGAGAAAGGCCACGTGATCCTCGTCCTCCCACACCCTCCACTGCTGCTCCTCCCCGCGAACGATGCGCGAAAACAGGCCAGGGTGAGCCGGATCGTCCCCAAGGAAAGTCAGATTGGGTGGGGCGTCGGGCAACGGGAGCTTGGCTCGAATCTTGGCCTGGATTTCAGTCAGGCTGGATTCACTCCATCTGGGAGCGGTCTTGGAGGTGCAGTGCCCCGGGTCGTGGGCGTTGTGCTCCTCTTCTCCTGCCAGGTGAGGGCGCCACTCTGCATCCAGACCGTGTAGAGGAAGGACACGGATCTGTGAAATGAAAATAAATGCACATTAATTAACTCAAACTCTGATTGACACAGGAGTGATTCAATCTACAGTTAATCAAAGCTTTTAGATTTGCTGTTTCAAACATCTTTGGATGGCTGACTAGCTCAGCTGTGGTAAAAAAGGTTTCAATAAACTTATTTTGGTACTTTCTAGAGTCATACTTAGCTACATGCTAAATGTGTGGTTGCTCTATCAAAAGCAGTACGGCTTCAGCTAAGCTGCAGCTAAAAATTTGTTTCTGAAGGAAAAAAAAAAAAGTAAACATTTTTGACTCCCTTGTCTTGACTTCCCTTAGCAAATAGTTAGTTAGTAGTTAGAAGTGCTAATAGAAAGCTCTTAGTACCACCAGGGAAAAACTCTAGTAGTGAAACACTTCCCATGCACTACAGCCAACCAGTCTATCCACTGTTCAAAGCAGCCCTCACCTGCGCAGGTCGGTCTCGGTGGGGTCTGCTGACCAGCGCACACCTCCGAACTGCCAGCCTGTCGCACAGCAGCTCTGCAACGGCTCTCGCCCCCAACAGCCAGGTTAAGAACTCACGCTTCTCCAGATGGAAGACGCTGCCTCCCAGGCTGCCAGGGGTGCTGCGCTCCAGGATGACAGAGCCTGGGGTCCAGGGCCGGGGGTGAAGGTAGGCCACCAGCCCCTCTGACTCCCAGATGACGTGACGGGGAAGAGTGGAGGACATTCTGTGGAGCCAGGAGGGAAGATACAGAGAAAGTGAGATACTCCTTACAGTTGTTTCTTTTAAAGACTTACAAATCAGAGGATAACATTGTGTGTGTTATTATATATATATATATATGAAAAGATTCAATCAGTTTGAAAACATACAGATTCACATAAAAAATGTCATTATCTCATACAATATTTGATATAGACTGCATAACGGTCATGCTACAACAGCTACTTACACATTCATCAGTAATAGTAATCCTTACTGATATACACTTTAATAACACCCACATAAGCCACTTTGTGATACTTTATGTACATTTTTCTACAAATATTTCTGTACTTTTACTTAATAAAACATATAAATACAAGTAATATAATATGCATTGGAACAGTATGTTTTTATTGTGGCATTTACTTAAGTAGAGGTTCTATGGTCGACACACACACAGCTATTTTTAAATAAAGTTTTGTGTTTATGGAGATGAAAGATAATTAGATAATAAAAAGAAACATTTAAAAAGCATTATTAATGATATTTTCAATGTTAGTTCGAGTTTCAAGTGTTTTTTCTTGCAATAAAAAACAGTTTAATCAACATTACATCAGCTCTAACACGTTACATCATTACCACGTGACACTGGTTAGCGGTTGCACCCCGCGAGGGCCTCCGTAATATTTAACGTTCACAAAAATGCACAGATTTAAGTTTTCTGTCAAACTTATCGTGGTTAGATATAATATTGTGTATTTAAGTTGGACAGTTACACGCCAGAGGTCGTAGTTAAAGTAAATCTGTCAAAACACAAACCGAAAGTACACACACACACACACACACACACACACACACACACACACACACACTAATATCGACTTAAATAAAAGTTCAAATTGTACTGAAATACTAACTGCTAAGCAAATTACATATGTGCCAAATCCTGCTGTGTCTGTAGGCGACATCAAAGCGAATCAGTCATAGAGTAAAGTTTTTATTAACCTATGAAAAAAATACGAGCCTACCATAAAACACCTGTTTTTCAAATGGAGTTTGGTTTTAAGCATTGCCTGTCCCACTTGAGAGCCCGTCGGGAGCAGAGGGCATTTGTAACGTTAAGAATTCAAATGATTTAAGCTGACCTACCTTCTAATAATGAACCTTGTGCACAGCATAAAGTCACGTAGAAGTAACGGGAGTGGGGATAAACACCGACCTGTTTCCTCTCGGCTCGTAGTAGAAGCTGGCGTAATAAGCACAGACAGCTATGTAAACACAGACAGCGGTTCCGCTTCGACACATCCGTCAGTGCGATGAGAAAAGAAAGTAAGACATTATAAACGGACTCGTCGCTAACAGAAAGCAACCATGCCCAATGATTGTATTGGCCAGACTAACGCCTCTCCCACTTCCAGTCACTTGACAACAACTTCTTCTTGCCGGATTTATCTTCTTCTTTTGGCTTTATGGCGGGTTGCAACCATGACTCAAAAGTTGCATACCGCCTCCTACTGTACCGGAGTATGTAGCATGAGTTCTGGTTATGTGAGACAATTTACATCATAATAAAATAAAATAAAATAAAATAAAATAAAAAATCCTATAATATAATATCCTTCAATTCCACACCAGCTTTCTGTGTGCCCTATACCCCCTCTCTCCTGTTGTTCTCAATATACCCCCAAAGATATCTTTTAATTTAGCCTCTTCCCTATATTTATCATTTGAGTTTAAAGGCGCATTACTACCATCTACTGGACTGGGATGTAGAGCATTAGCCTTAGCAGGATAAACATTACATTTTCTATGCTATAACAGTTTGAAGGAGTTGATTAAAAAATGACTTCCATGATGCATTCCCAGGAAGATTTCCTAATGTAATGTTAATGTAATATCACATTCAGTAGCACATGGCTGACTAGTGTGTGCATGATTCACCTATTGTATTAAATGATTGACTGAAACAACCACCTCTCAGCTAGGATTAATACCAATTATCTCTAACATTATAATCCAGAGACTCTAACATAGCCTATATGTAATAGAACGTATAGATCTACTCATCATTGTTAAAACTAAACACAATAGGACCAGTGTGTAGGATTTAGTGGCATCTTGCAACCAACTGAATACCGCTCGCCCAACAAGCGTGTAGGAGAAACTGCAGTGGCCCTATCTACAACCAGTGTTTGGTTTGAACAGGGCGGACTCCGCAGAAGAGGACCAGCTCCCTCTGTAGATAAAAACAGCTCCTACTCCTCTTAAACCAACAGTAACGGTCCATTAAATAGCAGGTGTGATAAGATACTAGTCCTATATTTATTTAGTCTAGCCATTTCTCATTTGTCTCAAACTACAAAATGCAATGGATTTGAATTAATACAACAGAATAAGTAAAGACAAGCACTACACGTTTCATAAATCAGCAACAAAAATGCAATTACATAATAACATATAATAATTACATTGTATATCTATTCTCCCTTTCATCACAAAAACCTTTTTTATTGTAACATTCATACATTTTCTTCTGGTTTTGGGTCATTGTGAAACAAGCTAGATAGATGGATACTTTATTTATTTATGTATTATTTTAGTTTTGTCAGAGTTACACTTTTGTGATGAAGCAATGATAATGTTACTATTAAAGTGCAACTTGATTGGAAAGTCTGGACTGTAGTGGCAATCACATAAGTGCCCACATGCTGTGTTTTGCTTTAAAAAGTATATTTTGTATTGAGAGGACAAAAGCAATGTTAAAAC